CATTTCATACCATTACATAACATTACATAACATTACATAACATTACATAACATTCCATAACATTACATACCATTACATACCATTACATACCATTACATAACATTACATAACATTACATAACATTACATAACATTACATACCATTACATACCATTACATACCATTACATAACATTACATAACATTACATAACATTACATAACATTATATTACATTACATTACAGTACATACATACATGCAATACATACATGCATTACATACATGCATTACATACATACATTACATACATACATTACATACATACATTACATACATACATTACATACATACATACATTACATTACATTACATTACATTACATTACATTACATTACATTACATACATACATACATACATACATACATTACATTACATTACATTACATTACATTACATTACATTACATTACATTACATTACATTACATTACATTACATACATACATACATACATATATAGTATCATATAGTATACGTTAAAGTATACACATATTGGAATATATATATATAATATATATTATTATATATTAATTATAATGAGGGTCAACATGTTACGTTACCAAAAAGACTGGCCTGCGGGTTCCAACTGCCCACCCGTCCCATTCAGGTTCCAACTGGCTTTCTAGAATCAGGTTTGACATGGCGCATCGAGGTTGAAAATCTACCACATACCTATGCACACATGTGCAATCTTATAAATAGTTTTAATAGTATATACCATCTGGTTATTTAACATAGCCATGGAAAATCACCATTTTTAATAGGTAAACCCAGGTAAACCATCTATAAATGGGCCATTTTCCATGGCTATGTTAAATAACCAGAGTGTATTTGTATATAGAAATATAGACATATGATACTCATATTCAGCTAAATTGTCTGAGTTCACCAGCCTGACATAGGGTCGCACAGTGGGGTCCCCCGAAAAAAAGTCTAGGTATATGTGGTGGTTACCACTCTGAATTTAAGATGCCATAAGAACCAATGGAACTGACGATCTGGTGGGGTAGACTGGTGGTGTTTCGCCACCCGAAAAATTAGCGCGTCAATTGGGAGATCATCTGATGTAATCTCGCTAGAGTTGACCAGCCAAACAGCACAACCAAACAGCCAGTTGCCAAAAATTTTTCCGGGTTTTTCCATGGTAAAACCACCACATCTGCCAGCCGACTGCTCCAGCTCGGCCGCAAAGTCGCGCATTTTCACCTATGGCCATGTGGAACGACCCGACGTCTTGGTTTGAGGTTAACAAGAATATCAAGGTTGTGGCCAGTTATAGCCATATGACATGACTCATAACAATATCATATATATATAATATGGATATATAATTATACATATGTATATATATATATGGCAATACTTGGTGTGATCTCCGTGTCATATATCCTGGACAATTCTATACGATTCTGACGTTCTACAGTATCTGACATCTTATCTGACAGCGCTGTATGTGGCTGGGTGGTGTACCTGTGTGGCTCTGGGATGCTTTATTAAAATCTAGAGACCCTCACCTCGCAGGTGGGGGAGAAAAAATTATATACCATGTCGTGATAATCATATCCCGTGTAATGACAGGAAAAAAACATATAATAACATATAACAACCATGATAATGTAATGATTTATCATAATTAATCATGTCATGGTTTCATTTTTTGATGATTATATCCTATTCTAATCCCATTAAACTAACCAGTCACCATTCACCTAAGAAATCTAGAAATGGTGATCCATCCCCAATAATCATAGCGTAAGACTAGGATGCTTGACATATACAGCGGCTGAGTATCCAGAACGGCTAAGGCGGATAGGAAATTGGACTCATAAGATATATATGATGTAAAAACAACAAAAGAAATCCGAAGTAAATTTTATGTATGTATATAAATATTCATGTATTTGCAGGTACACAAATCATAGGTATCTGACCATATATTGGAACCACATCACCATATATTTCCAACCGCGTAACCATATAGTACATTATAATACATTATAATAGACTATAATACATTATAATAGATATATTGTAATACATTGCAATAGATTATAACATTATAACACATTATAATACATTATAATTCATTATAATTATAATACATTATAATACCATATTATGGACCATATATGTCCATGTTCCCAAATTCCCAAAAAAAATGCCATGTTGATTGCCATGCTTCCCTGCCTGCCGGCCGTTCACCGACATGCCAAAGCGCCGCGCGCCAGGCGGAAGGTACTTCTCCACGGGGTTGGAAACCACCTGGGCTGCGGTGACATGGACTTCATGGAGATGCTCCGTTCAATATAGAGGTAAAACATGGTAAAACATGGTACAACTTCCCCAAGGCACAAGGATTTTTTCCTAAAACAGCTACGACTTTGTCATAAAACCATGGTAAAACCACAATTGTCCCGTCCTTGCATCTTTCACTTACCCATGGGTTGGAGAAACGCTGTAGAATGGGGATGAAGTGAGATTGACCATATTAGGTCATTTGAGCCAACGGTTTTTTTCGGTTTTCTTGTCATTTAGGTGATGTTACGTTGAGGATGTTACGTTCTGGATGTTACGCTGATGATGTGACGGGTTGGGGTGGGGTGGGACGGGGTCAGGTGGGATTTTAACGTTCATGTACATGTTACGGTGAGGATGTTACATTGATGATGCTATGGGTTGGGGTAGGGTGGGGTGGGATGTTAACGTTAATGTGCTTGTTACGTTGAGGATGTAGAGGGTTGGGGTGGGGTGGGATGTTAAAGTTCATGTACATTTACATGTTATGTTGAGGGCGTTAAGGGTTGGGGTGGGGTTGGGTTTGGGATGTTGACGTTCATGTACATGCTACGTTGATGATGTTACGTTGAGGGTGCAAAAAGGAATTCAATTCGTCCGTCATGATGCCAATGCTCCCAAGGGTCGCAGCAAAAGCATTTCATTTACCAAAGGCAAAGGCAAAGCCTTAGATCCGAGGCTGTTTACATGTACTCCTTCATGTTCCGAAAAAAAAAAAAGACTAGTGGAAAGACACTGGTCACCTCTGCAAGGTCAGCAAGCCAAAGAAACATGTATTTGCAAAGGTCATTGTTTTTGGGGTGACCTCCAAAACATTGGCGTGGGACAAAATTCATATGCATATGGACCTTCCGAATCCACAATTTCACATACGAAATGAACTTGACTTGATTAATTCCAGGATTTGATCAAAAACGTGTCTAAAACCTGAGTTTTGCAAAGATTGCAGCCTTGCACCCCCTAAAAAACTATTGGGGCCATTACTGTACGCGGCCCGTTACCTCATTTAACAATAGGTAGATTTGAGCATGACAAATGTTGGTATCATAGGTGTAATGGGATATATCATCCATTTTAATGGGATTTTAATGGGATTTTCCATTATAAAATGGGATGATATATCATATACCCTCTGCGAATTTCACCATGGGAAATTGCCTGGTTTTTAATGCTGAACTGTCAGCTTCGTGTCAGCTTCGGATTCATCCGATGCTTCCGGGATCATGGGAGGGGGGTGGTGTCAAGGGTAAACAAGACTAAAGATCTTGGAATTATAATGTTTGATGGTTAAAGTGTAAAAATATATGATTCATAGTAAATTCATAGTAACAACTAGACATATCAATAGCGTATAATAGACGTCACCAGCAAATTTTGGAGAAAATGGAATATTGATAATGGAATATGTTTAGATGCTTGTTGTCTATCAACTATCGTCCATCATCATGGGCTTGTGTATACATAATTTTCATAGATCATGTACACTGGGGGGTATCCTCAATCTGCACAAAATAGCTAGCTATGGGATCAAACTTGACCGGTCGATTTTTTTCCCCCTAACAGATCTCAAGAGTAAATACATGTAAATACCAAACGACACCCGGATGAAGTATTGGATTTCTTCATGCTGGGGTCCCCCAAATTGGGACGATTTCTATGGTCCCAGGGTCCCTTAAATGTGTGGCTTCATCCCATAGGAAACCATGGTTTCTGGTGTTGAATATCGTGATGAAAGTCATTTTGCTTCTATCCACATGAAAATGCCATATTCTCATTAATTCATTGGATCGTGATTATATAATATATATATATATAGAGAGAGAGATTATATACCCATGATATACCCATTATATAATCATTATATAGCCATGACTTATTATAAATTCTATACCCATGTGATATTCCTTGGCGCCCCGCCTTCATCAAGGTCTCATTGGCTCCAGCTGCGCGAATCTTTTGCCGCTGCAGCAACTCAACACACAGGCCTGTCGTAACGTCGTGCCGTCGTGCCGTGGAGGACCAATCTATTCATGGTGAACTCCACATCGAACCCTTAGTTTACCCTAGGGTACCCTTTCATTTCAGATGTACATTTGTAGACTGTCATTTGTTTAAAAAAACATAGTTATTTGTTGATCTTCATTGTTTCTTGTTGTTCCTCCTTGTTCCTACAGTACAGCGGCCTCGTTTTTACGGATGGTGTGTTGAGGTACATCATCTTCCCTTCCAGTCACTGGAGATGCTACAAGCAGTCCTATACAATCATAATATTCATATCATATCATGTTACATCATGTTACTTATTACATCTTATTACATCTTATTACTTATTGCATATAGTTATTACATAAGATAATTGGGGATGTCCTGAAATGGGGGTACCCCCAGTTCTCATCCATTTTAGAGTGGGATGTTCCATGAAATACCATCCAGATCCATCCAGCGGGATACCATCCATTGATGGAAACCCCAAACCCCTCAGATGGTTCACCTGCGAAGCGCTTGAAGGTCCGCGGCACACGCAAGGATGGATGCACCTGGCGGCGCGTTCTTTTCGGCGCCAGAGCCAGACCAGTTTTGTTGGGAAACCGACCGTTTTGTTGGGGGAATATGTGGGTCGAAAATCTTTGGGATAGGAAATATGAGGGAATGTACGTATACGTATATCTTTTTGTGGATTTAGGGGAGTTGTCTTTTTGGGTCGTGGCGTCCCAAGGATCTCAAGGCCAATTCATTTCAAGGGGGACCTCCCAAGACACTGGGAAGTTCATGGCGTTCAACTCAGACGCAAGATAGGTTTTCGACTGTAAGTTGAGACTTTGTATTTCTCTCATTGGAATCAAACATGGTTTCACCATTCTTACCATTTCTCAACTGATTAATCTTTAGCATTTTGACCAAGTCTTCCCATATTTCATCACCAAAATCTGAGGTGTTTCACCCCACCTCACCAGCCCGTTACGGCCCGTGACTCTGCACCGTGAACCTCCACCAAGACGTGCTTGGCCGTGTGGATGTAAATCAAGAGCTTCCCGGCCTTCACTATCAGCGCGTAGGATTCTTCCAGGACAATTCAATGCCTTGACTCTGAAGGTGTTATCAGATGATATTTCCATTTTAATCCATCTGACATCCAATCATTGGGTTGATTTAAGCCATGAAAAGGGAAAAGGTTCAGAAAACGTTTCAACTGGGGATGCTGTAATTTCTCCCGGGAGCTCTTATCGGCAAAGCTACTGGGAAAATGTGGTAAACCTCAAACCATAAATACCATTGCGGAAAGCCTATGTTAAGCAAGGAAACAACAAATTTACCAGTGAACTTACGTATGGTGTATTGCGTCTAACATCATCTAACTCATTAGTTATATCAAGTTGTATCACCCTAATTGATTTTTCGGCAGGAAAACACAGCATCACATATCTTCGCCCATGGAACAATTAAAAAGTCAGGATGGATACAGATTTCGAAACGAAAAGGTTGGGAATATCAGTAATATGCAGTAATATACATACAGCCAGACAAAAAATGGGATGTATCAACCAACCAACATTTTGGGTATCGTTCTAAAGTGAGGGTTTGAAACAGAACTCATGGGCATCTGGATACCGAGGAACCAAGTGTAGGGACATTCAGGTCTGGCTCAAACAGAGGGGATCTAATCTACGAAGCAAGCAGTTGTTCTACATCAAGCAACAAGATTCGGGCAAGCAAGAAAAACAAACATGGTATGACTAAAATTTTGGAATCTAACCTACCTATTATGGGAGGATCATTATGTTGTCACCATCAATTTTGGATGGTTTGTTAGTATTGCACCACCTCAACCTGGGGGAAATCAGATTGAGCCCTTCCTGCAGGTGAAACAGAGCCATATTTTGTTAGGACATACAACCACTTCGAGGTTTGTCCAATGGGGTTTAATCATCTCAAGTAGAACCAGACTTCGCCACGATTTGTTGACCAGCCATACTAACATGTTCCTAAAATTTCTGGCTATACCCTCCGGTAATCAAAGATAGCAATTGGAAATCCCCCATTTATATTCATTTATAATATATATATATATACATATATATGTATGGTTGGTGGTTTCAACCCCTCTGAAAAATATTAAAGTCAGTTGGGATGATTATTCCTAATATATGGAAAGTCATATAAAATTCCAATGTTCCAAACCGTTTCAACCAGTATATTAGTATAGATGAATGTCATTGAATTTCCCATTAAAACATATTAAAACATCCATTTACAGAGGATAACATCCAGCCACAAACGCCTTGTTCAAAGGGCTATCCAGCAGGGCCATCAGACACTGATGCGTGATGTCCGGCCTCGAATTTCGACTCCAAGGGATATGTTGCAGGAAAGCCATGGAAAGCCCCTTAAATTTGTCAGTAAAAACCATGGTAAAAACCATGGTAACAAGTGTTCCAAACCATAGTTTCCTGTCAAAGTTTCCATCAATTATGACAGTTATTGATATGGACATGTCAACAATTCTGCGCATGATGAACATGAAAATCATCTTCCAATGCCATTTTTTACTGCTGGTTTTTCGTCGCACCAGGCGTGCCCTTTGATCGGAACTAGAGACTCCGATGGAAATCGATGATTTTCCAGGAAAATCGAAGGATTTGCCCCCCAAGAAATAAAACTTGCATTCAACGCTCTCAAATTCGATAAATTCCGTGTGGCTTGAGTTTTATTGCCATTAAAAGCATGTTACTCCTGCTCCCGTTAGCCATATCACATACCGCGGCTAATCTTAAATCCACCTTTAAGCAACTGGGATAGGCCGGATAGGCAGTTAATTTATCCTGTTTATCCTCCCTGTATGACACAAAAAAAAAACACAAATCATCCATCAAGCTCCACCTTTCGGCAGTACCCAGATACCCACCAGGGCGCATGTTGCCCCTCTGGCACATTTAGGGCTTCCGAAAAAAAAGGGGATTCCATGGGATGTTTATCCTCTGTTTCTTTGACGTACAGCTATTTACGGAAAAATCACCACGTTTAATAGTTGTATCATCATAATCATCGTAAATGGCAAATGTTCAATAGCATTCAATAACTATGTTGAATAACCAGAGGGTGTCATATTCATATGTCATACTTTCAACGCAGAAACCCTTATTTTTCCTCCTCACACAAGCTACGCATCACAGGATGCGTCGCAGTGAAAAGGCCGGGCACAACAGAACTAGGTCTGGCACATGCACTCGCAAGGGCTCCCTGCAAAATGTCTATTCGACTAATGAGATTAAATAATGCAAAATTAATGGTTGAATTATATATTCATTAATTTTGCAAAATGTCTATTCGACTGATCAGTCATTAATAGGCAATCAATGGTTGATAGAAAATCGGTGGATCTCCCAATTAATATGACGACCCTGCCATGAGTTGGGGCTTGACAGACTACTTTTGCGACTTTAAAATTGGCAATTCTCAGGGGTTTACTTAGGTTGTTCGGGGGATGTTGTGTAATGTTATATAATGTTACAGTATATAATGTTATATAATGTTATATAATGTTATATATTCTTGTCTGTCTCAAAGATCTCAGCTTGCTCATCTCTGTTCACAAGATCCTTCACACTTTGGAGGGCCCAAGTTCCTTTTTGGAAAATAGAGGCCCCTGTGGAACGAGCAGGGAGCAATCTAACTTGTGGCTTATGGCAAGACGATATGGACGTCTCGCTCCCTAGAAACTAGATCCTAAGATGCTGCGACCGGTCGTGAGAATTCGCCAACGCGCCAATCCATGCGCTACTCACAGATTGGACTCCCATACCATGACCAGGTTCGCAGTGTTCAAAATTCGACTTCCACCTGTCGAAACACCCTGATTGACTTTTACAGGGATCAAGGAATAGATAGATATAGATAGAACTTTTTTGGGGACAGTTCCTTTGAAACAATTAGATAGAATTAGTATGATCGGGCTTGGCGATGTTTTTCCTGGGCCTCTGAATGACGCAGATTCCATTCGTGCAGGTATGAACGGTGACAGGGGTCATCCCATTGGGAATCCAAACATAATGGGTATATAATTAATGGGATTGATGAATATTGATGACCATGACCATTCCCCAATTAATGGGTATCTATGGGTATCTGGTTTCAAGTTTCAATCAAGTTTCATCAATTTTCGATACTTTCGTTTGTTCATGGAACAATCCATCAGAAATGGTACAGCACCGTTTGGACCAGTCATTGCTCATACTCCTACATCTGTTGACTATTCAGCCCCAACAAGAAACACATTTCTAGGTTCCCACACTTATGCTTGGCTGAATCTATTGCAGCAGAGGACCCACTTCGTCTATGCAGGTCTATCCTTGATCTTTTTGCGTGGGTCAGGTATCAGTATGTATCAGTTTTTTCAACCATTCTGTTGCCACTACTTCTGCGAGTTCCATCTGAATCTTCGGCGAGTAGTCAGAAATAGGTTCACTTCTTCACCACATCATGGGGTCAGGTGGGGTCAACTGGGGGGCTGTGCTGACTGAGAGATATGTTGATGGGGATAGAGGTTGAATGGAAATAATTGTGGAAAATCCCCATTTTTAATGGGTAAATCAACTGTGGCAATTTTCAATCGCTGAAATGTGCCTCCAAACTATGGAAAGAAACCACAACACTTCGCCCAGTTTCCTGAGCCTCAGAAGTCCCGGTCCAAGGCAAACTGCGACGACTCCTCGGCCCCATAGCCTCGTTTTCCCAGCAGCAATAGCCAGCTGGCCAAGTTTGAAGGGATGGGAGCTCTCTGCCACGGGTTGAAAACACCATGAGTGGTGCATTTGTTTATTGACATTACATTACATTACTGTATGATTCTTCCGATTAATGTCATGTAATACATTATAATCATTAAATGACATTACTGTTTATATTGACATTACTGTATGATTCTTGTATCACGTAATAAGATGTAATAAGTATTATCATTGTCATCATGATATTATTCTACATGATCGTTAAACATGATTCTTCCACTCTGCAAAAAAAAATGGCGGGTTTCATACCCAAAAAAAAAGCAGCCCAACGCAGCAGCCGTTCGAACATGGCCGGGGCGCCGCCGGTCATCACGCCTGCCTTCTGGTACTCACCCACGCGCTTCTCGAAAAAGTTGGTCTTGCCCTGCAGGGAAATCATCTCCATCCTGGGCCATGACACGTGGCTTGGAGACCATGTTTGGTGGGCAAAAGATGAAGCAACAAAAGCAACAAGATCAAGCAATACCTGGGTTCATCAATCAACATGTATGCCTATATATATATGCCTGTGTACTGTATATATATATATATAGTTGCGCTGAATATATATATATATTATTATATTATATTATATTATATTATATTATATATTATATTATATTATATTATATTATATGTATATAATAATATATATTTATATATATATATATTATATTATATTTATATATCACATCATATGTTTTAATAATTATATATAATATAGGGTTGTATTTCTATGGCGAATAATTATCAACTTCTGAACCAAGAATATAAGTGGGTTTTTGTTAACGAATCATGACACGGGCAGGACACCAACAGGGGGAGTAGACCAGTTTGCGATAATCACAAAATTTAAGGTAATCAGTATGCTTCAAGTCCGAAAATGGGGGCATACCTCATCTTTATAGCCGTTTCATGGGAATATGATGTGTATGGGTCAAAATCGGGTACAAAAAAAACATTGGAATGGTTAAGACTAAAAACTAGATAAGTCAATCTGTGGTCCCACAAAGGCCTTGAATGTTGACCAGTTAAAGGCATGGAACAACTCTTGGTCACAACTAGTGACTGATTTCTCTCTGGATCAGGCGAAAGAAAGATGTGGAATGGAACTAGGGGAAAAACGTCTTGGGAAAACAAGAACCGAATATCAGTATGTATATATATATACTGTATATATATATATGACATCTTATGTGACTATTTATGACTTATGACTTAGATAATCACGAGTTGAGAAGGGAATTACGAATGGATCTCTGAGTTCTCAGGAACCACCACTCGCTCCATTTGTAGTATACGGTCATATTCCCAAGCAGGTACTTCTTCGGGAAAACCTCCGTAAAGCAACGGTTGAAAAGCCATTGGACAGAATGTGTTGATCGCAAGAAGTGGTTCATAATTACTTAATCATGAATTACATGTTTCATGTTGCTGTGGTATTAATGGAAAAGCCATCCTATTAATCACTGGAAAAGCCATCATGTTTCCATAATTTGCCATTCGTAGACACATGATTTTTCATGGCTGAGGTGCCAATCAAACGGATTCGAGGAGTTCCAGATCTTGCTGTGCCCCAGTGCACACAGCAAGCGATCCGCCACAAACTCAATATACTGTGTCATCAGATCCTGCACGGCGTCACAAGCGTCTTGTTGGGAAAATGACACCAATCTAAAAAATAGAATGACACACCTGGGGGCTTCATCTGAATCCATGAACTGGCTGAAACACGTTTAAACATGTTTAAACACCCTTCTCCATCTCCCAGCATCTTTCCCCTCTTTTGCAAACACATTTCATTGCCATGTCGGCTCGGTGAAAGCCCTAAGTCGTGGTCATTCGTGGTCCAAGTCGTCCTTGTTCATGCCGATGAGGTCACATGGCAACGCGCCACAGATGAAGTCCCTCTCCACTTCAACGGCTCCACGGATGATGTCCTCCGTTGAAATCATTTTCCACTGTGGTTTGATTCCCAGAGAGTAAATGGCTGTTTCAAATGACGAGTTCTGCGGGCCCACCCCATGTGATTGTACCATGCAACTGTTGTGAAACATTTGGAGTACTCCTCAAAATGAAACCCAAGATACTAAGATATACTAACACTCATAATCACTGATATAAGAATGATAATCCAGATTCGACCCATAATCTTCTCATTTGAGGCTCCATTTCAGCAGATTGTTAGCTATGGGAAATCGGAAAATCCACGGTTTCCCAGGTCATCTATAGATTCGTCACTGGAATCAATAGTTTTTTGTATCTTTGCTCCAACGCAAACCCCAAATCAACGTCCTGAACAATGTCTTCGGGCAGTTTGTTCTCCAGCATGGAATAGAGCAGGCACGCAAAATCCGCATGCAGACCTGGAAACTCTTGGTCATCTTGGGGTGAACAGCGTGGACAGATAAGTTTCAGATCAAGATCATTTCAAGTAATGTGGGTAAAACGATGCCATAAACCACCCAATTGGGAATGGTTTATACCACCTATTTATGGTGAAATTGGGGGAATGGTTTATGAAATTGTGTTACCCACATTGCATCATTATAAATCCACATGCTTTTCGAATGTTTAAGCTGTTGTTTTCACAACTTCGGTTCACGTCTTCCACAGACTTCCACAGACTCACCTTCGTCGCGGGAGATGAGTTCGTTGGAGAAAGTAAGCCCAGGCATCAAGCCCCGTTTCTTCAGCCAGAAGAGTGCCTGGGGGCATCCCGAGCGGCATCCCATGACACGCTGCACCAGAAAATCAGGTGAAGATCTACCCTCTAAAAGGATCCAGCTAATGCCTCCTGTTTCCACCATCGTAAGTTACCAGGTTTGTCTGAGAATAGGGCCACCCGGAAAATGTGACCATTATTTGGGAGTTCCATCCCAAACTTTCAGACACTTCCAGATATCATGTTGGCGATTCATCCCATGCCAATGACATCCCCATTATCTAGCCATGAATCTCCCCATAAAAATGTCATAGTAAATCATAGCAATCACCCAACCATCATGTCTCTACATGATCTCAGAGGTTTCCTAAGTCATAGGGGGCACCAAAAATGGATGGTTGTTTATGGTTGTTTATTGTTTTTCCTCAAAAAACATGGCAAATCATTGAAAATCACATACAAATGGGGATTTGTCCATTTGGTGCTACCCCTCCAGTGGTACCATTGAGGTCAACCTCCCATGGCCGTTTCTGCCACGACACACAGAAGGAGCCGCTGAAGAGGATGCCCTCCACCGCTGCGAAGGCCACCAGACGCTCGGCGAAGCAAGCCTCTTTGTTCATCCACTGCACGGCCCACCTCGGAAAATTCATCGGCTTCCCAACGATTGATATGTGATATGTATATATATATATACATATGTGATATATGATGACATATATGATATATGATGATATGATAATTTATGTGTATAATATTGTATAACATGTGTGATGACATGAAATTTGACTATACTGTATCTGAGTATACGATATATATATATATATACATATATATATATATACTAAGTATATCGTTTGTACTTTGGGAGGTGAACTCTGCACTTCCTATGTAGCATAGTCATATGTCATACCGGACAGTACGATGACAATGTAATATCACATGTGTGATACAATATTCCAGTAGAACAGATGCCAGGATCACGATTACAGTAACCTTGGTAAACCATCGTAAATCATAAGAGACCCCCATGTGTTCCATACCTTTTGAATTCAATTACCATACCCGTCGGAAGTCAAACATGGCAATGGGAAATCTTCTAAAAATAGATGTGTCAAAAGGGAAAAAAAACATCGAAGAATGTTCCATTGCCATGATTCACTACCAGAGGCTACATCATTTATCCTATCCTAAGCCTATATCTCTTCTTCACAGATATGGAGGTTTCCTAAGTCATGGTGGTACCCCAATGGTTTATAATGGAAAATCCTATTGAAATGGATTGAAATTTGGTGGTCACCCCATGAGTTATTTAGAGCCACCTTTAGCCACACAGACTTCATGGGACTTCCATATTCTTCCCAGGCACCTGGCTTTGTCGCGCACGGCTGGCATGGTGTGGATGGCATCAAAGAGCTGGTCCTTCTCCACAGGGTCTTTGATGTACTGTTCCTCCAACAGGGGTTGGTAAATGTCCCATTTTGGGAATATTGGACATCACCTTATAGTAGCGATTATAGACCATATACCTAATGGAATCTAATGGTTGGGTGATGTTCAATGGGGACATTTAATGACCCATGTCCAATGCCATGGCTAAAGAACCTTCGCTACTCCCGAGCCTGGGACCACTGGAACCCAAGTGTCAAACCTTCCGGGCGAAGTGGTAAACCCAATGATAAACCACAAAAAGATTCCAGTGTTTCACCACTTGGGTAATATTTAAAACATTTAAAACCAAAACAATGTCAATATGGTTAGTTTGGGGGGTTATCACATGAAATGAGATTCCACTGTAAACCTTCCAGATCTGTTACCTTTCCAAGACCACTCCCCTCTGTAGACCAGGCTCGATTAGCAGGGAGTAGGTCTCCTGGCAAAACATCCAGTCTCGCGTCCCCAACGGTTCAAACATCCAATTTTTGTGGGGTAATTTCTCAACTTTCGAACCCAAGCATTGAGATTTCCCTTTCAGGACGATTCTTGGCTTTATCATCTGTTCATAGTGTTTCTGTTGGCATGGGCATGGCTCAGCAATGTGACAACAAAGGGGCGCAAAGTTGGCCACTTGTATTGAAGCATTGATGATCCAACCTGCTGTAAATGTTTGGAAACTAACAAACACACACCAAAAAAAAACTCCACCTTCTTTGTTATATGGCAGTGTGTCAAAACCTTGTACCCCTGGTGAACCCCAAAATAGCTGGTAAATGGATGTTCATCCCACTAAAAATTGTATTTTATAGGTATTGATCCATACCCATATAGATTTATAGATCTACAGGTGATTCTCCCCTCCATGCAGATTGAATGTCCAACGCCAATTTACTGGCACCCCCCCTGCCCTCTCCGAGTGGATGTTTTCCATAGCAATCTGAAAGCCGTAGAAGGCCCGAGCCTCTGGGACCTGCACCTGGCAACGGCATCAACGGCATCAACGGCATCCTGGCAGTTGCAGAGGTATCCCATCAGTTTTGGACGTTGGACATCGTTGGACACAGCCGACATGAACTGTTGATTGACTTTGATTGTAAGAGGCTATCTGAACCTTTGTTTGGCTCGCATCGCATGGAAAAAGTTGAAACATTCCCGACTTGTGATGGAGGCCGGTATGGGCAATGGGAAACGAAAATGGTCGGGAGTTTTCATCCTGCAGGTGGATTACCGGGAGTGCAATTTTGCTGTACCGGAACCATCCACAGCGTTCTGCGCGCAACGGCTTTGTGTGTAGAAGAGTTTCTCTCTGACAGTAAAAGCTTGCTGACGTACAGAAGAGCTGAAGAGCTTCGATGAGATGAAATTTTGCGCAATGCTCGGATGAGATGAAAATATTCGAGAAGAACTTAGATGACATCCGAGAAGAGATGAAATGAGACGAGCTGAGATGAGGTGAGATGAGGTGAGAAGAGCTCAATGAGATGAAATGAGATGAAATGAGATGAGATGAGATGAAGTGTGGAGTGTGAAGTGCCAAGTGCGAAATGTGAAGTGTGAAGTGCGGAGCGTGAAGAGTGAAGAGTGGAGTGTGAATGAAGTGTGAAGTGTGATCTTTGGGGCACAAAGTGTCGCTTGGCGTTGGATTGCAATGTGGTCGTGCGCAGTTCATGTTCTTGGACAACAGTGTGGCGCACGGCGCACGCAAGTTCTAAGGCAACGTGCGGACGTGCGGGTACTACTAAAAAAAACATTTTTTAATAATGTTAAAACACAATAATTGGTTGATAATACGGTTGAATAATAATAATCAATATATATATACCTATATATATATATCAATATTATATATATATATCATCATTGTTTAAGAACCATTTCCATTAAGAACTTCAGGGGCTGGATTGCTGGATTCAACCCTATCTATTGCCTAATTGAAATACGACTCCTAGAGTATGCTGGATTTGTGGCCATTAGTTTTTATTTATCTTTCCTATTGTCACCGCTTGTAGAAAAAACAATAGGGTATATAAGTCCCAATCATCTCTTGTATTTCATCTGCTGTGGTTTCTGTCCAAGCGCATTTTCGGAACGATTCCCAAAGGGAACTTCCAACCGAAACCCATTCTGACTTTCTGTGGTGGCCAAACAGAATGTGGATAAATGTCCCACCCGAATCACAGTTTTTCCATCATCGTTGTAAATTTTCCTCACAAAGTCAATCCCCCTCAAACTAACATAACGATTGAAAATCTCCATTCTATAGGTAGACCATGAACATCCATGAACCATGGCATTTTTCAATACATAGGCCATTTTAAAGAATTTCCATGGCAAACAACGTTCGTTTACAAAACACGGGCCATCTTCACTGCCGCGACCTCCGTGCTGAACTGAGCAGCGAGGTTCTCCAGCACGATGCCGTCGGAGGCGGCAAAGAACGCCAGAACATGCCTATCAACATCAATAATGGGGTTAATATTGGTTTGTCTGGGTTTGTCTGAAAATAGGGTATATTCCCAATTATAGCCATTTAATAGGGATAATGATCATTAACCATTGGGTTTAGGGGTACACTATTTTCAGACACACCCATGTAGCGACACACTAAAACTTAGAATGCTGACCAATTTTCCAATTTTTGAAATTTGAATTTAGGATGCCTCAAAAAAACATGTTTTTCGTTTAAAATGCCGGCCAGGGATGGCCAGGGGGCATTCTAAATTTCAGTGTGTCGGTGCACCAAACCACAGTAATAGTTATAACATGTCATAACAAACAATATAGACTACGTTATCAGTTATCAGCATCAATAGACCATGTCCGAAGGAAGTTTCATGCTTCCGACAAAATGGACAGATGGAAAAAGGCAGAGGTGGGAAGAGTCAGAGAAGAGAAGAGAAGAAAAAAGAAGATCAGAGAAGAGAAAGAGTCAGAGGAAAGAAGATGCAGGTGCGCGAACAAGTAGAAAAGTCGCGATTCACTGCGATTTTTCAATGATTTGTGGCTCCGGAGGGTCGAAAAGTAAGCTCACTAAAGCGGCGGGTGCGGTGCCATCTGGCCAGATGAGAGATGAAAAATTGCACGCCGTTGTGGCGCGAAGCACGTTTCGAAGTCAAAATGTACAAAACACACTACATTACACAGCACTACACTATACTAATTGCACTACACTACACTAGACTACAACTACACTATACTACAATACTAATTGCACTACACTACACTAGACTACAACTACACTATACTACACTACACTACACCACAGTACACAAAACTACAGCACACTACACTACACTACATTACACTACACTAACTACACCACACCACAACTACAACAGCAACTACAACTACAGTACACTAATTACATCACACTATAACTACAGCTCCACTACACTACACTATGAGTACAACTACAACTACAACTACAACTGCACTACACCAAACTACATCCAGCAGTTGTGGGTGAGGTGACCACTGCAACCATTGCAACCACTCCAAAAAACACAACTCCAACCACCTTTCGGTCCATCAGTGGATTCGCCCTGCCATTCGTGATTCACAACAACTCACCTCTCCTATAGTGTCCTATCTTTGAAACTTCCGCCACCGCCTTGTGCGGTACTGGTAAAACTATAACATATGGTTATATTGTATCATAGTTATAACTGTTATAACATCAATAGTGAGTACCCTTTCCCCCATGTGGTTTGGGGGGTGTGAGGGTATCATGGTACCCCCTCCCTCCCGTGGTGTGGGTGGATGGGGTGGGGAGGTTGAATATGAAGTATATATAAGGAATCAGCAATATGAAGTATAATACCATTGGGGGGGTGCCAATATTCACAACATCAACATTAATCAAGGAAATATCAACATCAATAAGGGTTAAACTATGAGACTGTGTTAAACTATTATATTACATAAATATATATATACACCCATATGGGCACCCATTGGCACCCAAAATGAATAGATTCAATACCAAACCAGTTTTTCGAAGGTCGTGTTTTTGATGGCAAGGGATTACCGGGTATATCGACCCCTATCCCATGGGTAATCCAACTATTCTCCATGTCGGCGAATGAGCCCACATGACATGAGTGTGTATGAAAATTGGGTAATCAAACCCCAACTTGTGGCAAGTGACAATGATCATTCACCACCAAAATTGGGGGTCCCCTAGTTTTTTTTTAACATGCTCACATGGCTTTGAGGCACCAGTGGCTGTACCCTATCCTAGCGCTTGTCAAAACGGTGGTTGAGAGTTTCGTTGATAGATCTGGTTTCCCCGCGCACCACGTCATATTTGCTTTACAAGCATGTGACTTATACTGGTTCTGCCAACAAACGTGTTTCCTGGATGTTTTTTCTGCATACCATTTTTGCCGTTTGGTGGAGCTGGGTAGATATGTATGCCTAAGAAGACTTAGAATTAATTTCACCCAGAATGGCAGCCATAATTTACAGCACGGATGAATCAAAGAGGGGTTCCCCCGACAATTTTAACTTGCGACTGAAATGGACCCCGCCAATTAAACATCATTAAACGGCCTAGGGATTTTCCCGAAAATCCAGTCTTGACTTCTGACTTCAGATTTTTCAAAAAGTGATCCTTAGATTTCTCCAGCTCCATGGGGCTGTCCGTCTCCAAGTTGCTTCACGAAGTGTTTCTCACCCTCCGTAAGCTTCTCCCAGTCCTGAGCGCCAGCGAAGCTCCGGGGACTTGACAGCGGCTGGTTGGTGCTGGTGCCCCGAAGAGACAGACGTGTATAGAAATTTCTGCCACCAAACAGTGGTAAGTCACTCAAATCTATCATTTTACAGATTAGATTGATTAGATACTAATCCTGCCTATGCAGTTTCGACCTGACCAATGGCAAATCCATAGCTTCCATCCTTAGGATTCAAGAATGAACCTAGGCTGAATGAGGCTGTCTGAGCTGTGGAAGCCCGTGTTTGAAATTAGGAACCCACTCGAGCCTCTATGTCTGATGTGGGGTATTTCAATAGTTCATTTAGGACATCAACTATGTTCCAGCACTGTCACATCTCAGGCCGCAATTGATTGGGAAAATTGATTGGGACTCATGTTCCCTTTAAAAAAATCCACTGAACTATCCCATAGGATCCATGGTGCTGGTATATATGCTAACATTGGGGGTATATTGATGGTAAATGTTACCATATATAGCATACATGGATCCTATGGGTATTAAAATCCCACGAAAAATCCCATGAAACATCCCAGGCCAGCACCGCTTTAAAGATGGCCAAGTCTCCTTGTTATCCTGAGCCAAGTCGATCTCCTCGGCAGTCCAGAAGGAGGCCTCGTGTTTCTTGTAGAACTCCCAGATGGCCGGGAACTGCAGGGGGAACATCACCTGACGGCCATGACCTGCTTGGAAATCGTGAAGCTTCCAAATATGGCAAAACATCTCTCCCTTGAGATCAATTTGGAAGCTAGAGTGGATGGAAACGTCAACACGACATGCTTGCAAAATGTTGCAAACGAACCAGGACAATCTGCAGGAACCCGTGGTTTCCGGTTGAACTTCCATTATACCTCCTATCAAATGCTTTGTTTACAGTAATGTAATATACATATATACATTACATAATTATACATATATATATATATATGCCATGGAGGATTCATCCCCAATTGATACATTCATCAACTAGGCGCTGACCAAGTCAATCTATTTAAGGCAATTGAGTTTTGCCTGAAAAGTGCCGAAGTGACATTCAATTGATGGCAACGTCAGGTTTGAAATAACATTAAAACCACTCAACATTTCAAGTGGGATCTCAGATAATAAGAGAACTAGAAAAATTCAGCCATGTCAAACATATCAGTACATATCTCATTGTCAAGTCGGCCAAGTATGAACCTATGATATATCATGGAATTTCACCATCAGATTACATCAGGATTTCCCAGGATATATCATAATATATACATATATATATATATACCATGGATATTTCACCGTGGATCATGAAATTTCACCATCAGGATAATCAGATAATCATATAACACTGACTTGGGTGTTAACTATAAAATTGTATAACTAGAAATTGTATTAACTAATCACAAATCACTAAGTAGAAATTAGATAACTGGGTACTTGGGTGTTAACTAATTGATGTTAGATAACTAACTACCCTCTGGTAATTTAACATAGCTATTGAAAATGACCATTTATAGTGGATTTTCCCATTAAAAATGGTGATTTTCCATAGCTATGTTAGTCATTACCAGAGGGTAAGTGGCTAAGCCAACACTACGTGACACGAAGATAGATTTCACCAAGCGGCCCATCTCCGGGGATTCTCCTTGAGCAAAGCTTCCTTCTTCTGCAGCTCCTGAGCCAAAAAACAAACCCATGGGATTCCCAAAAAAAAACTGACATAGTTACTGTTGTGAAACTATCTGTCACTATGACTTACGATGATTCACTTGATTCACTTGATTCACTTTGATTTGAAGCGAGAGAAAATAAACATATGAGTCATATGAGATATATAAAACGGGACGTTTTGACACAGCTATGACATGGCCCTTTTTATTTATAGATATACTGTACCTATTAAACATATTTAAACATGGTGATTTTCCGGTTCGCAAACCATGAAATTACCATACGGTACGTATGGTAACATGACCAGTCCAACTCGCTCCTTGTACTCTTCAGAGATACGGCTTGTCTTTGGCACCATCGCCACTTCCTTGTCCATCCCAGCCATGGAGAGATCGGAGTTTCGCTAAGGAAAGCGCACTGAAAACAGCTCGTTTCGGGTTCCCGAAGTCGTCAGCTGCGTGTTGTTGTTGATTCCCCAGCCCAGGGTGGTGAAACTGGCCTCTGAAAAAAAAACTGTGAATGTGTGAATACTTCTATGTATGTTCCATTGTGTCCTCATCATGATGTCTTTATGATTCGTATTGGAAACAGGGAAGTTCCCTCTAAGGTTAGCAAGGCAGCTTGAAACCTCTAGTTTGCCATGCTAATCGTGGATACCCTGTAAAGGAGACATTGCAGTCTCTAACCCCCCAATTACATCCATTCTGTTTTAAACATCTCCATACCATTCCTACTTGAGGTGATATCAGTGATGACCTCTATAGTCTATACATAAATTATACATAGATTATACATAAATTGTCCATGAATTACACATAAATTACACATGTCTATACCCCCATTTTTCATGGCCAGACACTGCTTGAAGCCTGGTCCCCTTTTTCTCCTGGCGATCTCCTGAGGCTCCAGGCCGGACGTCGGCCAAATCTCGTTGAGTTTTGGCACAAATGCCCTGAAGGTTTCCGCCCGGTGACGTCGCAACCGGTGATCCAGCCATTTGGAAGAGATCCGAAATGGCTTTTACAACGGGAACTTGAAAAGTTTATAGCAAAGTTGGAGCTTGCAAAAAACTAGGCTTGAGTTGGGGGATATCACTAGAGTTGAGGATGTACAAACCAACATAGAACTGGGGGGCCATGGGCAGCCACCTTCTAGGCATACTGTCATCACCGCAATCTTTGGAGGTTGTTTCAAAATATGGATGATTAAAATTGTGCAGGATAGGGTTGAGTGACTTGGATTTCTCACAGCTTTAGACAGTTTTATACATGTTGAATAATGTTTTTTTACATTCATACAACATGAGACAACACGAATATGATCCAGCCATTGGAGTGCCAAACCCTCCTTCCCCCGTCTCTGCTTGCCGCCTTATGGTCATCACTGTTCAGGAGCTCATAAGCCCCCTGCGTTTGTTTGCCACCCAGCTACCCAACAAAATCTTAACACCATTGGGAGATCATGATCCCATGGCTGAAAATAGAAGATATATGATATATGCTTAACTATGGTGCTTAACCGCTTAACCATGGTTTCTGGGGGGTGTTGCAGAATTGGGGGATGGGATTAGATGCTTGAAACCACCCGCCGGCCTGTTTTTTGTTCTTTTTACTTGGGGGATACTTGGAATTGGCATTACTTTGGAGACCTCCCGAAGTAGCAAACTGGGTGCTGATAAATCCTGGACTGGCATCCCTTGGCTCACCATACCGCGTCAAAAAACTGGGAACAAAAACTCACTTGTAGATGGGAATACTGTAAGCTAGGAAGTTCGAACTTACTCACCATGGTTACTAACCACTGACTGGGACGGTGATCTTAGGGACCGGGATAATGTAGGTACGAATCAACCAACGTCAAATGAAGAGCTAGATCCAAATGAAGCATCAACAAAGTCTACAAAAGATCTGAGATGCTTGGCATGTTTTTCATCTGGGTCATTTGCATGGTACTATCCCAAACCCAACCTTAAAAAATGCTTGACCCTAAGGTGGAAAGCTACCAAGTTCACATAGCTCAACAAAACTCCGCCCACAAAAATGCAGTACTCCACAAAAACTTTTACGGGTAGACCCGTTTCGACCCGAGTTTCATCCCGTCTGCGAATCGCAGTCGTCTGGTCAGATATCACTTTCCAATACCAGTACCATGTGTCAATGACCCACTAAAAACTCCGAGCTTGAGGTTGCCAGTGATACCTGATATTGATCCAGAACTATCCAGAACTTGGAACTTGAACAACCAATTC